CCTCACCTCCTTCTCCCTTCTTCCCACTGTGGCTCTCCTCCTCTTTCCTGTCTCCTGTCACTCTCTCCTTTCTTCTATAATGGAAAGGGGATCCATTTTCACAGTAGATGCACCCATAATTCATCCCTGCATCTCAGTTTCCTCCCTCGTAACAAAAATAAATAATTTTTTTAAAAAATGGGGGTAACTGCCCAGCCGCAGCATCGGCCCATGAACCAGGAGGTCATGGTTCGATTCCCGGTCAGGGCACATGCCCAGGATGATGGGCTCACTCCCCAGTGTGGGGCATGCAGGAGGCAGCCAATCAATGTTCTCTGTCATCATTGATGTTTCTATCCTTCTCTCCCTCTCCCTTGCTCTCTGAAATCAATAAAAGTATATTTTTAAAAGACAAAAACAGGGGTAACAATGGGGCCCTCCTAACAGGGTGCATGGGAAGGTGCCTAGCACTGTGCCTGGCACACTCTGTGGGTATTTAAAACATGTTTGTTCTTCCCTTTTCCCCCTTCAGTCCTCCTTTCCTCCCTAACTCTGTCCCCTGCCCTTTTCTCTGTCTATTTTCCTGCTCCAGTCCTGCTTCCCACCTCCATCCCCAGCACTTCCGCCCCCTCTGACTGTGCTTATGGGGCCTGGGTGGGTGAGAGAGGGAGCCAGGCTTAGCTCTAAAGAGGGCTGATCACTGTGGGACCAGCCAAGCCCACAAGGACACACCCTAGGCCTCTTTGCTTTTACTAAACAGTCATAGGATTTGGGGGTGGAAGGATAATGTAGAATGGGAGAGACTGGGGTATTTTAAGCTTCGGCTTATATTTGCCTTCCATATATGACTCTTCCAGTGGCTTAATGGTCAGAGATCGTCACATAAGTCGCTGTGTGACTTCGGGCAAATCCCCTTCCCTCTCTGGGCTTCAGTGCAGTGTGGGATAGAAGTGAAGGGTGTAGGCCCTGGAGCCAGATTGTCTGAAATGGAACCCCATCCCCACCACTTCCTAGCTTGGGTTATTAACCTCCCTGTGCCCCAGTTTCCTCAATTTTAAAATGGAATTTATATTATACATACTTTATAGAGTTGTTATGGGATTACATAGTCTGTTTAAAACACTTAGGCCAGAGCCTAGCCCGTAGTAGGCATCACTCAGTTAATCTTAGCGATTATATGTGAATGGCAGGTTGAACAGAGGGCGTGTGCCCATGGGGAAAGCAGGCATTCTAAAGTCCTGAAACCTCACATTCCTCCTCTTTGTTGACCTCCGGAGAAGAAGAGCTCAGAATCTTGTACACAAAGTCCTTGCCTGTCCCGGGGAGACCCTAGGAAACTAGTCAAAGGTTTTCCAAACCAGGTGGAGCCCTGAGGCCATGTGACCCATGGAGCAGAAAGGGCAGGGGAACCGGAGCGACTACAGGGACGACGCTGTGATGAGTTGTAGAACTGCAGGTGGTGACCTCAGAGCACGGAGGGGTTAGAGGGGGCAGTGGATGGTAGAATGCTGAGGGTTCGAGGGTGCACTCACTCCACAGCTAAGACACTTGGGGCCTCATTGATGTCTTTAGTGATAACCATGTGAGGAGGAAGGAATATATCCGAAGCACTGCACCAAATGTATTTACATGCATTACCTCAGTCCACACAAAATCCCCTTTTACAGACGAGGCAAGAATCCTTGCTTAGGGTGAAACAACTAGAAAGAGGCAGAGCTGAGATTCAAGTCCAGGGTTTTCGGATGCCAGAGCCAGAGTGCTCATGTGACACGCTTTTAGTGCTTCCCAGCCTCACTTGGGGCTTGAGGCCACCACCCAGAAAAATAAGGACCTTCCACTTTTGTCCAACTGACTGGCCAAGCAGATAATACCAATGGGTGAGCCTGGGCTGCCGGTGATCTTCCCAGCCCTGCTCACCCTGACCCGCGAGCCACGGTGGGAGACCAGCCCGTGTGGGGAGAGTACATCATCCTCTCCTTCAGGGGCCCTGCCTTGATGCAATCTGCCCCCCCACCCCCAAACCCCCACCCTGTCAGGGGAGAAGTGGTGGCTACTTTTTGCCAGAGGCAGGGAAGGAGGGCTTAGAGCAGGGGTGGGCAAACTTTTTGACTGGAGGGCCACAATGGGTTCTTAAACTGGACCGGAGGGCCGGAACAAAAGCATGGATGGAGTGTTTGTGTGAACTAATATAAATTCAAAGTAAACATCATTACACAAAAGGGTACGGTCTTTTTTTTTTTAGTTTTATTCATTTCAAACGGGCCGGATCCGGCCCTCGGGCTGTAGTTTGCCCACGGCTAGCTTAGAGCCTGGGGGGAAGCTTATGGGCCTGACTTGCCCAAACTTCAGCACCTGGGGGAAGCTTATGGGCCTGACTTGCCCAAACTTCAGCCAGGGCCTTGATCAACTTGGACGGAAGATCAGGAACAAATGGAAAGTGGGGGGAGATGCAAGAAAGGGGGTAACCTGAAAAAGAAACTTCTTCCTCTCAAAAAAATGTAAAGTTGACATGAATCTGTTATTTTCCTGCAGAGTAAGAAACATATGATTTACGTTATACAGTCTGCCTTCCCACACGTGCGGAAACCCATCTGTTAGTTCACTAGAACATGCTCAGTGACCAGCCCAGGGCCTGATGATGGTCGGTGCCCAATAAACATATGAAAATACGGATGGAGAGAGTGCGACCTGGGTCAGAAGACCTGCCTGTTAGTGTCTAGCTCCCTGGCTCGCTATGACCCTTGGGCAAGTCACTCTCCAATGCCATAAGCCTCAGCATCTGTAACATAGATGCCCTGGTAGTTCCTAATCCAAGGGCTTTAACATCATAGAGTTCAGGGTGGGTAACAGTGGCTTAAATGCTGAATGTCAAGCTGACAATGGTATCCCTCCAGCGCACAACAGATGGCTGGGTGTAGCAATGCATTCAAAGAGCCTTGCCAGACCAGGGCAGGGCAAGGCCAGAGTGTGGCTCTAGAAATGGCAATTAAACATGAGAAAGACTGCAGAGCTGCTTGGAGAAATACCATCCAGGAGGGTGCAATAAAGCAGGCCCCTGAAAGAGATTCTTCAGCCTTGCCCGGTCAGGGGATCAGTTAGCACTATCTGGGGCACAGATAGACTTAAATCTGAAGGGCTTCTAGGTCATCTAGTCCACATGCCTCCCCCACCTTCTCCAGGTAAGAAGACAATAGTCCTGTGAGGGGGGTTCGGGGCTGAGTGACAAGGACCACGTAGTCTAGTCTCAGCTCAATGCTGTTCCCACTGCACCACGTCAAGAGGGAGGGAATGCAAGGGTGGGTTTTAAGAGAAACAGGTTAGGACAGGGAAAGAAAGCTTCCACAAAGCAATTTAAAATGGGCTTACAAAGGGCTTAAAGAGGAGGAACCAGGGGGAGGGAAAGGTTGAACATAATCTCTTACCCCTGTGTGGATTGTGTTTCATGTGGGACAGCTTGTTAAATGTGTGGTTTTGAGGTGGAACGTTACGGATGGGGCATCAGAAAGGCCCTTTTCATCACCCAGCTCTGCCATGTACAAGCCCTGTGACCGTGGGCAAATCCTCTCTCAGATTTGAAAATTATCACTTGAAGCGGGAGGATAACAGTGCCCACCCTGCAGAGCTGATCCTCAGAGACCCATTGGGTGACGGATGGGGGGTTGCTAATAAAAGCTAACAAAGCCAGAACTAGATCCCAAAGGTCCTGTTACACTAGATGGGAAAAGAGAGAGCCACGGGCAGGGCAGGCAGCTTTGGGAACGCCTGTCAGTAGAGTCCCAGGACCACATTTTGAGTAGCAAGGAACTAGGTCATCTCTAAGGGCCCTTCTGGCCTGATAGTCTCTACAAGGTTGAGAGATCAAAGCCTGAGAAGTAGGACAAGAACTGATTCTGACCCTACCCTAAAAGACATTGGAATTCAGCATGAGGGCCAGGCTATTTATTTCCCATGGACCACAGACCCCTTAAGAAAAAGGAACTTTATGTCCAGAGCTCAGGCAGGCTTTCAGCTTCAGGGTCAGCTTATCCGGATCCTCCTCACTGGCTCATTTCTTAGCCTAACCTGCATTTCACTGCCTGAAGGCAAGAGACAAAACTTTCTGAGCCACACCCCTCCCCTTTGGAGGGTGGGAGGCCGAGGCTTGTCCCTAAATAAAAGCAAAGGACAAACCAGGAATAAGACACACTCTCAAATCTATGTGCCCCACTTCTTTTTCTCATTCATTCATTCATTCATTCATTCATTTATAAACACACACACACACAAACTATGTATTGAGTACTTTATGTGCCTGGTACTCTGCTAGGGGCTGGAGTTACAACAGAGAATAAAATAGACATGGTCTTAGACTTCATGTTGCTACATTCCCTTTGGGAGGAGAATGGCATAGACCATAAATAGGTAGATAAATGAATGTGATTATTTAAAATTGTGAAAAGTAATAAAAGAATAACAAAACAAACAATGACAAAACAAAGTGACGGGGTTTTCTTCTGTCCACTGTCCTCAAGATAAAGTCCAAGGCCATCAAAGCCCATCACCATCTGCCCTGTTTAGTGCTCCAACCTTCTCACTTTTACCTTCAGCCTTTGATCATGTGATCATGTGGTTCCTTCTACCCCAAACACGCTTTCCCTTTTCCCCTACCACTAACAAAACAAAAAATGACAAAACAAAGTGACGGGGTTTTCTTCTGTCCACTGTCCTCAAGATAAAGTCCAAGGCCATCAAAGCCCATCACCATCTGCCCTGTTTAGTGCTCCAACCTTCTCACTTTTACCTTCAGCCTTTGATCATGTGATCATGTGGTTCCTTCTACCCCAAACACGCTTTCCCTTTTCCCCTACCACTTTCATGTCTCTCACCCAGCTGCTCCTTGTCCTCCTTCCCAGTTTCCTGGATACTTCCACCTGGAGGCCAGCCCTGCTACCACTGATCTGGGTCAGTTGTCTGTCTGTGCTGTCCTTTCCCCACAAGAGCATCCATCACCCTGTGTAGCCAGTTGACTGTCATCAACTCACCAGGCTGTGAGCCCCTTGAGGTCAGGAATCATGTCTTGTTTGCTCTGAATGATCGAATCCTCAGCGGTTGGCACAGTGCCTTAATACACACCTGTTGAATTAATTAACACGTAGTAAGTTTAGGAGCTCAGTAATATGAGGAAATGTATTGACAAGATATGGTTTTGGAGACAAAGAAGAATTGGAAGGAAAAAAACAATTCCTCAGTCTTTGTTGGAGTTCAGAGTCCAGCATCTCCTGCTCCCCCCACCCTCTATCAGAGCCTCCTTAATGGCTTATCCAGTAGACAGGGCAGAAATTATTGACCCCATGTAACAGCTGGGGAAGGTCACCCCTCAGATGGGAGATGTCATCAGGCTAAGCCAGCCGTGGGCAAACTACGGCCCGCGGGCCGGATCCCATTTGAAATGAATAAAACTAAAAAAAAAAAAAGACCGTACCCTTTTATGTAATGATGTTTACTTTGAATTTATATTAGTTCACACAAACACTCCATCCATGCTTTTGTTCCGGCCCTCCGGTCCAGTTTAAGAACCCATTGTGGCCCTCAAGTCAAAAAGTTTGCCCACCCCTGGGCTAAGCTCTTCATCTCACAGGGCATGTGGATGGGGTGGTAATATGTAGACTCTGAACTAAGTGTCTTCACTCACTTAAAATCAAAATAACCATTCGAGGGTGATAATAACCACAAAGGATTTACCCATAGTCCTCCCTCACCCTGTAACCCAACCCCGACTGGGCGGACACTCAAGGGCACTACTCCATTTGTCCTCAGGAACTCCTCCCCTGGGTCAGTTCATGAGAAACTATAATTACAGACCGACGAGCATGGACAAAACCTCACAATTCTAATTTCCTCATTTCAGAATTGGAGGGAGTCCAAGGCTCAGAGGGAAGGGTCGAGGCCAAGGCACATACTGAGATAGGATCAGGACTCCAGACTTTCAGTCCAAAACTTTTTCACATGCACCTCCCTTGACATGAACCTTCTGAGTTGAGGAAGGGGTAAGAATGATGTGGACCTGACTTGGCCATTTGTTAGCTGTGGTCCTGTTGGGAGAAGAGAGGCAGGAGGGGCGATAAGCTACCCACCCCATTTGGTCGTCCGACTCTAGAGTTTATTGGTTCCCTCTAGACCTCGTTGTTGTTGTTTTAGGTTTTTTAAAAATATATTTTTTATTGACTTGAGAGAGAGAGGAAGGGAGATGGAGAGAGAGAGAGAGAGAAACATTGATGTGAAAAAGAACCATGGACCAGCTGCCTTCTGCAGGACTCCTACTGGGGATCAAGCCTACAACCCAGGCATGTGCCCTAAAAGGGTCGAACCAGTGACCTATCGGTGCACAGGACAACGGTCAACTAACTGAGCCACACTGGCCAGGGCTAGCCCTCACTGGTTTTGTGCATTGTTAGTTAACCCACAGAAGTAGGATGTGGGTTGCTCACTGTTTGGTGACTGTTTATGAAGGTTGTTATTGCTACTCCAGCACTGTTATCTCCCGGCTAATAATAACCTAGAGAGGATGGAGGGTGGGTGGAGTGAGGCTAGCAGAGGCATAGGTAGGGCTCCCCACTAAGAAATGGGAGAAAGAGTACATGTTTTGGGTTCCGGCAACATATAAGGACATCAAGAGAAGGCAAGGGACATTTTGACTGCAAGTGTGGAACTGTATCCAGCCTGTCTGACTCTTGTAGACACCTCGTGCCTGTGGGACCTTGGACAAATCACTCAGCCTCTGAGAGCCTCAGCCACTCAGATGAATGAGATAGTTTCTAGGGACTTTCCCCCTTTTTGTAACTCTCCCTCCAACAATGCAGACTTTGGAGGGAGTGGGAGTCATTAAGTCCATTTCAGCATGTGCCCAGGCCTACATTTGCCAGGCCAAGTCCTGTTGAAACTAAACCAGGAGACCGAGGAAAAGAGTTATCAAAGCAGGCCCAAGACTGCTATCCTTAGAAAGATCTGCTTGCACGGCTTGTCCTTGGGTGGCATTCAGGAACTTTGATTTCAGGAGATTTCTATTGTCCCCAGAACTGATAATTGTGGTGCAACTGTTTGTACAAGCAACGTGGTTTGTGCTGAACACCTGATTTCCTGCTGGGAGTCTGGAATTACATGCGCGGCAGGGGATGCCTACGTGGCCAGCCCCCGGTAGAAGCCCTGGGTATTGAGTCTCTAATGAGCTTTCCTGGGACAATACCCTACACATGTGGTCATGGTTTGTTGCAAGAGGAATTAAGCTCATCTTGTGCGACTCAGCTGGAAGAGGACTCTTGGAAGCTTGTGCCTGGTTCCCTCCAGACTTTGTCCCCTGCACCTTTTCCCTTTGCTGATTTTGCTTTCTATCCTTTCGCTGTGATCACATGCTGAGCTCTGCGAGTCCTCCTAGGATCACTGAACCTGGAGGTGGGCTTGGGGGACCTCAGACAGGAGATAAGCCTAGATTTCACAGAGACATAATCCTACATCAGCCTTTCATGAATAGGGTGTCCCAAACCTGTATACACACTTTAACAGCTCATGGCTCAATTTTGAAAACAAAATGTATTTTAGTAAACACTGCCTTTATAGTTATTCCAAGTGTGTGCCTACTTTTTGGGACACCCTATATAGCTTAAACCAGCACTGTCCAGTAGAAATGTAAGATCAGTTGCATATTAAATTTTAAATTCTCTAGTAGTCACATTTTAAAATTTAAAAGAAACAAGTAAGTTAATTTCAAGAAAAATATTTTCTGTAACCCAATATATAAAATGTTAACATTTCAACATGTAATGATATAAAGAGCTATTGAGGTATGTTTATGTTCCTTTTTTCATACTAAGTCTTCCAAATCCAGTGTGCATTTTACAGGGATAGCACATCTCAATGTAGACATTCCAAGTGCTCATTAGCCACACCCCTCCAGCGGCTGCTATGTTGATGGCACAGAGATGAATGACAAGGGCTCTGGAAACAGGACATCCGGGTCAGGATCCTGGTTCTGCCACCTACCAACTGCACGACCTTAAGCAAATGTATTTAACGTCTCTGTATTTCTTTCCTCATCTGTAAAATTGGGATAATAATGTTCACTACTTCATGAGGTTGCACAGACTTTCCACAAAGTGCACAAATCTAAGGCAATTCCTGGTTCATATAGGATGTTGGGTGAATGCTGGCCATTACTCTTATTATACGAAAGCTTGGCTCTTGGGATCAACTTGTCCAACTCCTCATTCCATAGATGAGGAAACGGGCTCAGAGTTTGGAAGGCATTGCTTTCAAAAGCAAATGCCACCGCTCCTCCTGATAGACTCCCTCTCTGCTGGCTCTGAGACAGGATCTGCCACTAATTCAGAAAAGCAGCATCTGGCCCTACCTGGGTTCTGCAATCCTGTTTGGAAGGCCAGACAGGGTCACTATTTGAAGTTGGCACTGAAGAGATGGGGGCTGGGCCTCCTGGCTGCTGCCTCCATCCGGACCCATTAGTTGGGCTGGCTGACCCCATCACTGAGTTCAGTGCTTACTCAGCAATGGCAGGGCTGGCTTCCACTGTTGGCTTTTACAGCCTATTGTTTATTAACTCGTCTTCCTTCCTCGAAGACACAGAGCATCAGCACTTTTTTTTTTTAATCCTCACCCAAGGATATGTTTAAAGAGAGGAGAAAAGAGGGAGAGGAATAGGGAGAGAGAGAGAGAAGAGGGGGAGGGGAGGGGAAGAGGGAGGGAGAGAGAGATCCATATGTGAGAGAGAAACATCGATCAGTTGCCTTCCGTATGCACCCTGACAGGGGATTGAACCCACAACTTTTTGGTGCACAGGATGACACTCGAACCGACTTAACCACCGGGCCAGGTCTATCGGCACTGTTTTTTAAACCTCCGTCTAAGTCATCTGCAGTCCCCATTCACCAGCAAGCAAAGATTCTGGGTAGGTAGTGAGCTCCCTGTATAGGTCTCAAAAAAAAAGAGGGTGAAGAGGTACTAGGTGCCCACATGTCAATGCAGCAGAGCACTTTCTCAGGTTGAGAGCAGACTGCCCTATGATTTGTCTACAGCATCTATTTCCACCCTTTCTTTCCAGATATTCAATGCAAATCATCTATCCTCCTTTGACAAGCTCAGTCAGCATAACTCCCATGGCTCGAGTCTTGCTAGCAGCTGGAATCAGACCAGTTTTAAGGGCTCAAACTTCTTAGCATACCCTGAGTTAAAGCTCTGCTTATTCTTTATGCCAAATAGTGTTTTATTTATTTAGTAGATTTTCATTGAGCATCTACTATGTATTAACCCCTGTGCAAAGTGCTGGGAATGAAGCTTTTGTGGACCTTATGATTCAGTGTAGACGATAGACAAACAAGAAATGATGATGAAGTACCACAAAGGGTTGATGTAGAAAGTGTCCAATGTTCTAGACATTGTAAGGGGTACTGGACAAAACTCTTTTCTTAAGAAATGACATCGAAGTTGAGACCTGAAAAAACAGTAGGAGAGAAGCAGTTAAAGAGAGACCATGGAGTGCTCCAGGCAGAGGAACAGCATAGACAAAACATGGGGTGAGAGAGAACGGTGTGTGGGAAGAATCGACTAAAGTCCAGCACAGCTGGGCTAGAAAGAACAGGCAGAGTGTGGCAAAAGACGAGGAGGCGGCTGGACTTTGAGGATATTGAAGCGCTAAGGAATTTGGACTTTAACCTGAGGTAAGAGCAAACAGCCTGGAGAATAACATCTTTCAAAACATAGGGTTTCTGGGAACAAATCACCAAAATGTGCTTCAGAAGCTGGTGGTTGAAGCCTGGAAAGTACTGTTTTCCTTTTCGTCTTCATGCTCTTTGTACTAAGGCTCAGACCTCCATTGAAAGTATTCTATAGCCTAAAGGCCTCCTCAGTGCCCAGCCATGCTCCCCGACCTCTCACCCCACTGCCCATGAAATCAGGACTCCTAAGTCTGGTGCCGCACAGGCCTTCCTTACACCCTTGGAACTGCAGGGCCTCTGAGGCCTTCTCATTCCCCCAAAAGAAAAGGAACAGCATGGCTGGGACTAGGGTGAGGCAAGTCAGGCGTAGAGAGTGCAGAATTTAGAGAGGTGCTCACTCTCTGGTGCCAGCTCTGCACTTCCATGACCCTAGGTGCCACTTGCATCATCCTACCCCTCGCTCTATTGGCTCACACTTTGAGGGCAGGGATTATAACTTCAAGAAAACTCTTTGACATCTCTCATGGTG